TAGAAAATAAGTACGATGCAAAATACGATCGTTTATGAAGAAATTTTTTTTGCTAAAAAAGCAAAATTATACAGGGGAAAATACCAACTCTGAGGTCCCATAAAGCGACCACTCCATCGATTGCACAAGTACTGAACTTCTGCACATTATCATAACGACCACTGTGTGGCAGGATTTCCCTGAACGGCAAAAAACAAACGTTTAAATTCTGTGGGAGAAAAAAGAATCCAATATTAATGAATGTACCGTAAAACATTGTAAAAATGGCTTAATGTAACGAGTATTAATTAATAAGATTATTAAAACGTATGGCCTATATATCAAAGCAAAACAAGGTCTGTGCTGCTCATAGCAAAACACTCATTGTAAAAAAAGAGAACTGAAACCCTTCCATCATTCACTTCCTATCGGAAGCAAAAGCAGAATCGTGGGAATCGTTATGTGCCAATAGCAACCACTCGCTGGCAAAAACGGCCGGTGGTTCTTTTTTTCGATGGTTCGCCGACTAATAAATGGCCATCGAAACGAATGAAGGGAGTGGCTGCCCCACTGGCGCAACTGAACCCTTCAAATTTAGCAGAACAGCTGCATCACCATTGCACCTTACCCATGTGGCTCTTTATCATAAAAATAGAAAAGTGCTGACGTTATGGCATTCTGATGCAGTGTCCTCAATCGGACATCGACAGCTTCACCGGCCGCATTGCGATCAATGTTCCGGAATTTTTGCATGGCCGAGTTAATATTCGATGATTTATGCTCGGATGGAACATCAAGTTTTGTTACAAACTTCAGCTGATCCTCCGAATACATGAACAAAATTGGTGAATAATCGTGACCCTGAAAAGCGTGAAACTCAAACTTTCTGAAAATCGATACTGGTATTTACCAGGAAGCCAACACCGCCATAATCTTTATTCTAAGCAACTCACAAAACAGGGAACCATAGACCACTCTGGTAACGGGTAACTGCTGATGGCCATACCGTTACTCGGGCTACTTCCGGGTGTGTCACATTTTGTAGGAAGTGAATACGAAGAGGGTTTTTGATTGTTTCACTTTGTCCGAAATAATAAAGTTTACCGCTGCGATAAGGCTATTCTCGGTGACCCATCGAACAGAAGTGAACGGAAGATAAATTGTATGCAAAACCACTGCATCGTTTAGTGATCGATTTGTGTCGATGACAGCAATTGTTGAATCATGCGAAACGTACGCCATACGACAGCCGGATGGTGAAAATGCAACGTGATGAACCCAAGCCGGACATTTCACCTGCAAATAGCCCAAAAAAGGAACAGTCCTCTTTTTTTCAATTACTCGCTGCTTGGCTACTAAGAGATTGAAGAATGATGAAGAGAAGGGGGAAGCTCAGAAATGAAAAATGAGAAAGGCCAAAAGCGCGAATTTTTTCAATCACACATACGATAATATGAAAACTTCAAGTATCAAGATAAAATTTAGCCAAAAAAATGGGTTTTTTCAGTGGTTTATAGGTTTTGTATAACTGAAGATGATAGGGGACGCATTCGTTTCTGGCCTTATGAATCAAAAACTGTTTTTACGTAACTTCTATGAAAAAAGTATATTGTTAAAGCAATACCTCACACATCAAAGCACCAAATGGCATCTTCGAACCCCACGGATTTGGCGACGGCTTCTCGTCCACTTCTTTTACGTATGCAGAAAAAACACGAGCCTAAAAACATCTCGAAACATCATCTTCTTTGTTGAAAATGATGAAAGCTCAAAAATAAATTAAAAAAGCAAGTTTCGCTGTTCACACATGGTTAGCAAAGGAGAAAAAACAATCGATGTGGGCAGGATACCTTGAGCAAACAGAGTAAAACATCAGAGCCAGATGAATGAAAGAACCCAACAGACGAAGTACTCCTCGTAGTGCAATGAGCAGAATTGCTCCACAAGAACGCAGTATTTCGAGCTAAGTGACAAACCTTAAAATCGCATGCACCGACAGCAAGCAAGACGTTGTTCGGATGCCAATCAA